CCCCCCTTTATTACCCCTCATATACTGTCTCTAGTACCTACATTGCCCTCCCTGCTATTATCCCTTCCAGTCTTCCAGTTTCTGCTATAGAGCACAGACATCCCAGGTATGTTGAGCAGGGACATACAAAGTCTGTATTTCGTAGTCTGGCTTGCTTTGCTTAGCATTAAGTCTTCCATATTTGTCCACTTTGTATCAAATGTCAGGGTCTCACTTTTTTTATTTTTTTAATGGCAGAGTAATATTCCAGAGGGTACATATGCCACATTTTTTCAATCCACTCATCTACTTTTGGACTTTTGATTTGATTCCATATCCTAGCAATTGTAAATAACCCTGCAATAAACACAAATGTGTGTTTTTCTTTTTCTTAATTTTTAATGATTTATTTTAAATTTAGTTTATACATTTAATTACTATACATCACTTTGCCTGTAAATTGAATTTACCCAACATGAATACACTTCATACCAATCTAGTTGAGGATGCAAAATGCATTGTCATCAACAAATAATAACCCCTTTCTGTGTCTCATAAATGTTTTGGCTTTCTGTGTTTTTCTGACTGAGGGTTTTCCTGCCCTTTGTATAAATACCTAAGAGTAGGATTACTAGGTAGTGGGATTACTAGTGTGATTACTAGTTCTATTCGTAGATTTTTGAGGAATCTCCATATCATTCTCCACAGCAGTTGTACTAATTTACATTCCCACAAATGGTGTAGGAGAGTTTCCTTTTCACCCCAGCCCCACCAGCACTTACCATTCTGTATTTTTTTTAACTTTAGCCATTCTGACTGGGGTTAAGTGGTATCTCAATGTGGTTTTAATTGCATTTCCCTTATGATAAGAGATGTTGAGCATGTTTTCACATGCTTTTTTGACATTTGTATGTTTTCTTTGGAAAGTTGTCTGTTTAGCTCATTTCCCCACCTTTTAATTGAATTTCCTTTTTTTTTTTTTTGCAGATAAGCTGCTTGAGTTCCGTGGTTATCAGTCCCTTATCTGAGGTATAGTTTGCAAATATATTCTCCCACTCTGAGGATTGTTTCCTCACTTTAATTATTGTTTATTTTGCTGTGCAAAAGTTTTTGTCTAATGTAGGTTTGTTTATTTTTGGAACTATTGCTTGTGCTTTGGGGATCTTCTTTAAGAAGTCTTGGCCTATTCCAAGGTCTCCAAGAGTTTTCCACCAGAGTTTTATATATAGCTTTTTTAATTTTAATTTTTTTTTTTTTAGAGAGAGATTTTTGCTATAGGGTGCACTTGCTGGAGAGACAGAGAGAGACAGAGGGATGGAAAGTGAGAAATGACCCCCTCCTAGGAAGGATGGCCACACCTCAATCCCTTCTCCATTCTTGTCTTAAGATTTTAGGCATGCATGCACCGCCCTCCCCCCCACCCATGAGTTAAAAACCTCAATCCTGGTTGACTATATTGAAGTCCAGAGATGTAACCATTTGCCATCTCCTGGCCCTTATAGTTCGAGGTTGTGTTTAGATCCTTAATTGATTTTGAGTTGATTTTTGTTAGTGTTGAGAGATAGGACTCCAGTTTCATTCCTCTGAAGGTGGATATCCAGTTTTTCCAGCACCATTTGATGAAGAGATTTTCTTTTTCCCCACTGGATTTTCTTATGTCCTCTGTCAAAGATCAGTTGGCTGTATGTTGTGGGTTTATTTTTGGGTTCTGAATTCTGTTCCATTTTTTTTTTCCCCAATACCATATTGGTTTTTTTTTTTTTTTTCTTTATTAAAATACTGAGTTTATTTCACGTGTATATTTTTTTCTCCCCACCCTT